CGCGTCTCCACGTTCACGACCCATACATAGCGTGTTCCTGCGTCGATGAAGGTAAGCGTGTAGAGTTCGTCTTCGATTCCGCAATGCCCCACGTTCAGGAAATCGCTGTACACCTTGTGCAGCTTGGGGTATCGGTTGGTTCCAGGTTCGAGCAGCGGGAACGGTTGGTGGCTCAGCGCAGCTTCGGGGCAGACGGTGCAGTTGCGCGGATGTGTCGCGCCACTCACTTCGGAGCCATCAGGGCGCAGGAGTGCGCCAGGAGCGAAGACGCCAGCGTCGATGCAGTTTTTGAGCGTCGCGCGGGAAGGGTGTCCGAGGCGCTGGTGCCAGAGTGCATCATCAGCGCGAAAGCCGGAGGTGCGCATATAGCGCGCGCGCGCTTCCTCGGGGTCTTCGTCAGGTACAGGAGCAGGTTCTGCTGCTACTTCTTCTGCTTCTTCTTCTGCCGCGGTGGTCAGCATCAACGCCAAGAACTCTCTGTCGCGAATTTCAGAGAGCGGGATGTTGGTCCCAGGGATGGTTCCAGGGACAAGGGTAGGTTGGCGTGGTTCAGGGGCAGGTCCGTAGATAGTGCGACGCGGGGTTGACGGCTCGTTGCCCCAGGTAATGGTGTCCCACGGGTCGCGATGCGGGGGAATGTCTGCAGGAGGTGGTGCGAGGGGAATGCGGCGCGGGGGACGACCGAGAGGAACGACTGCAGGTGCTGCTTCGGTCTCCGCGGCTTCTTCCTCTCCCCCCCTTCGTTCTTCGCGGGAAGTGCCCCAGCCGCTATTGTCGGCGCCAGATGCGGCGCCCCATCCGCCGCTCGCGTTGGCCCAGGTGCCGCCGGTGTCACCCCATCCGCCAGTATCACTGGTCCCCCATCCACCAGCGCTTCCCCACCCCCCTTCATTGGAGGCGCTTGCTTCTTCCTCAGCTCCCCAGGCGGTGCAAGCGAAGGTCCCGCGTGCTTCCGCGAGGCTTTGCTGGCGAAGCTCCTCGGCTTCGCGGCGCGCCAGTTCTTCCTCCTGTTCCACGGCGATTTCGGCCGTGGGGTCGCGCCAATGGGGGTAAATCTTTTGAAAATCTTCGCGGGAGTAGGGTCGCGGCACGCCATGCGCATCGAAGGTGCCGACGCCAGTTCCGCGGAGCATCCCTCGAAGGTGTTGAGAGGGCGGACCGGCAAGAGGGTACTTAGGCGTGCCGAAGACGCCATGCGTGGTGACTTCAAGTTCTAATTGCGACATGCCTTCTTCTGGTGGCGCGTGATGTTCTGCTTCGGCGATGGCGGCGAGTCCGCGGCCGGCAATGGCGCTAGTTGACGTCGTCGGCGTGTGGCAGTCTTTGCACATGCCGTCTGCGTCAGGGTCGTGCAGCGCTGTTTCTCGTGGGTGTGGATGATGTGGCACCCACGGTCTCCCGTCAGGGTGCTTCCAGTCCCTGCGGTGGATGTGCTCGAAGCGTAGTGGCACGAGATCGATTAGTTCGTGCGAGTCGCCGCTGCAGTCGGGGATGTCAAAGTCTAGGACGTACACCCCATTGTCGGAGTGTGCTCGTCCGATCTGCCGGCGGGGGAAGTTGCGCGCTTCGTAGTGCAACAAAATATCGCGCGTCGCGCGGTCCGTGCTGAGTTCGACGCCGCAATCCATGAGCTGTGCGGCGGACAGGAGGTTGAAGCGCAGGTTCTGGACGATCAGCACATCGTTGAGCGTGATGTGCGTGCGGCTCCCGCGTGCTTTGAGCACGACGATGCCTTGCGCGCTTGCGCGCAGGCGCGTGTTGTTCGCCACAGTGACATAGGTGGCGGTAGGAGTGAGGATGGCGTTGGATATGTGTCGCTCGGAGCCCACCATATGCTGGCCGCAGCAGCTGTCCAGGTACCAGGTGTTGTAGCGCTTGTTGTCGTCACGGGCGAGCAGCGCCAGTCGCGGTGTGACGATGTGCGGAGTGTCGAACTTCAAAAATTGCTCGCGCGAGAGCCAATCAATTGGCGCCACCCGCATATCAGGTACGTGCGGGGGACTTTCAAGCAGCGGGACTGGAAGGTTCCAATCTTGGTCGTCGTCGTCGGTGAAATCATGGAGCGGGTTGAACGGGTTGTTGTTGGTGAACGCGCCAATGGGGTGCGGTGCCGGCTCGGGTGAAGGCGAGCGGGCACGGCGACGACGCGATTCGCTGGTCATGGCCATGTTGCTCATGACGTTGCGAGCTGGGGCAGTCGGTGACGGCTGCTGCTGCTGATGCTGAACCGCTGGGTTCAGGTTGCGCGCGGAAGGGGGCTGATACCCCTGGGCATGACGCGCGTCGCCTCGTGCGTCTTGACGGCCGGACCAGGTGCTCGGATTGGTCTGGCGAGGGCGGGATCGGTTCTTGCATCGATCCGCCAGATGCCCGAAATTTCTGCAGATTTTGCAGTAGAGGCGCCGTGGCTTTCGCTCTTCGGTGTTGTCGGCGTAGAAGGCGAGCCTTTCGCGTTCTCGTCGCGGCGCAGGTCGCTGCTGATCCATATCCCTCTGTTCGACGAGAAGGGCGGCGCAAAGGGCGGCCTCCGAGATGACCCCCTGCTGTCGAAGAAGCGCCTTGCAGGGCCGCCACTCTGGGCCGAGCCCTTGAAGCACGATATTCACGAAGATTTCTTCCGAAATCGAGCTTCCCAGCTTCGCGATTTGATCGCGAAGGCTTCGACAGCGATTGATGTAGCTGTTGGCCTTCTCCCCTGGGGCCATTTTTGTTTCCAGTAGCTGCTGAAGCAGCCGGCTCGAGGAGACGGAGTCCTTCGGCTGATACACACCGTTGAGGTGTCGCCAGGCTTCAAGGGCTGGGGCGGCCGAAGTCTTGTATGAGCGTATGCTCAGTTGCTCCGTCGGTGCCATGTTCCGCAGGAGCACCCCGTACGCCATTAGGGACTCGTTGTAGTAGCGGGTCCTGGCGTCGTCCGTGTCGTCGGCAGGCTCCGCGTAGCTCCCGTCGAAATAGTGAAAGATTTGGGCGTTCTGCAGCAAGAGCTCCAACTCGAAGCTCCAGGTATAGAAGTCTCTGCCGTCAAAACAAGTACTTGTCTTTATTTTTGATATGCTCAGAAACTTTGATTGAGCAGAGAGAATTGCCTCTTCACTGGGACGGGGAGCCTTGGGGGTTGAGCCATTGGTGTCGAGAGAGAATGTGTGCGGGGCGGCGTTCTGGCCAGTTGGGGCCGGTTGGGATGGTTGCGAGGATGTTCCCGCATCGCCGTTCCGCAATGTTTGGAGTCCTTGCTCCAGGCTGGTGAGTCGCTGAAGTAGTTGTGCGAGAACTTCGGTGCCGATCGTCGTCGTGTTTTCGCTTGTCGCAGCCGGGTTGGGTTGCGCTTCAGCCGTTAGATTGGTCTGACCACCAGATCCTCCGGCCATCTTCACTCGTGAGCGTGTGCCGGACGCCACTTTCCGAATGTCGCAATTTTCGGGAGTGGCAGTGCGAAGGATTCCTGAGCCGCTCTCATACCATGCTGAGATCAGAAGTTGATCGTAGCCCAGGATCTACCCAGGAAGGTTCGCACGCAGTGAGATAGTTTGGTGGGCCCTTGACCTCAATAGCAGAGTGAATGTAAAATGCTTTGAGATGAATAGAACATGCAAATACAACGATATAAATATGAGTACAGGGGAATACGAAGCGTCCTAGCTAGCCATGTACTCTAAGGGGTACATTCCCTTATTCAAACGCATTCAACCGTGCGGCGCGTACAGTTTCGTAACTGTTCCCGCCAAGAACATCCTGCCTGCAGCTGTCCGATGCCGTCTGCCTCCGACGGTCCAGATGCGCCCCAACTGTCTGACACTTGAGTCAAACTCCAACCGTCTGACGGTTCGCTTTCTTGCTTCGATACTGCGTGCTTCTCTTTGCTGCGGTGAGGAGTGCTCAGTAACAATTAAATGTTACTATTCGTAACATGAAATACGCAAAATGGTCAGTGTGGCAAAATTACAAATACTGAAATTACAGTGCAAAATTGAAGCATATACTACTGATTTTTCAGGGAAAACGGAATTGACAAATACAAAATCAGCGTAATCAGCGTGTTTTACGCTGATATCTGAGGGCCTGCCCCCAGCCCCGACCCGACCCGGGGTCTCATCTGGGAAAAGACGGTTCTCCTACATTCATTAGTTAGAGCCTCACTACTATGCCATGTTTCTTACCACTGGTTGAATTGCAGTAAAAAAGACATTCAGGGTAGCACACAAATAATAGTATTTTCCAAGACAACACTCCCTCTGAAAGAAACAAAACTCGCCCATTATACAACAAATCAGCAAGCACACTCGTTATGCCATTCCCAGTACACGAACTAACTGATCAAGCCAACCGTCATCCAAGTTGTTTCTTGGCCTAAGAGCAACCCGCATCCAGTTGCTTGCACCTCTACTCCATCAGCCCCCGCCAGCCTGCCAGCTTGCGCCTCCTTGCCCCCTGTCACCTGTTCTTCCCTTGATCACCAGCCCCTTCGGGCATATGATCACAAAAAGCTCTCTGTTGCAAAGAGAGGAGACAAATGGAGGCACGGCACAGCGTAACAAGTGAGATGGTAAAACACACGATACTAAGGAGTTCAGAGAGGGACATGTGGGTGGTTCATGGGTGTATGGCTCTAGGGTGGCAGGAGTGGACTAACTGGCTGCACCAGTTTGGAAGAGAGCAAGGCATTTCACCCTCCCCCTCTTACCTGTGCACTTGTTCTTCACCATCTTTAACCCCTTCATTCACTGACACACCGACTTTCCTCCCACCCACGTGCACTGGGTACCAGCAGTGCAGGCAGGCCTGCACTTGGCTGGTGTCATTGGGAGGAGGGGGGTGGGGGAGAGCATGGGGGGAAAGAGCATGAGGATGGGTGGGGCAGCAGGTAGAGAGAATCAGAACGAGTGGCTTGGAAGGAGGGAGGATGATGATGACACAAAAGCACCACAAGTGCTCCAGCGCGAGAAGCTGCCCGGCTGATTCTTTACTGTTAGCAAGCATGCAACAAACGACAAGGCACCTACGAGCGAGGCAGAGCTTCTTGGCCGCGTTGAACAAGAGGCCCTCAGAGCACTGGCACTGCTGCTGGCCGTCCTTCACAATGCACTCAGCAGTTCCGCAATCCTTGTGACACGTGGCTGTTGTGGGCATCACAGAGGGACAAACAATCCAGCATGCAGAGAGATACAAGGAGGTTGAGTGTGTGGAAGAGGTTGCGTGTGTGGCTGGCTCTCTTTTGCCGTATCTCTCCCGTGTCATTGATTGTGGAACAATGAGCAAAACACATGTTAAGAGTGCTTGAGACCTTCTGTGATATTCACGTGAGGTGAAGTGAAAAAATATCCCGAGTGTAATGTGCATGTGCTCGCACTTACTGATCTCACAAGCAATTGATTGCGGTGACTCGAAGAAAGACCTGGGAGGAGGAGAGGTAAGGAAGGAGACGACCAACGATGAGGACGAATGTCAACACCGGCTAAGCAAACTCACACTTCACTGGCGTGCATCAAGCTCCAACCACACTTGGGCATCCATCTCCATCACAACGTGGCATGCATTGCGCTCACACAATTTTCGTGAGAGGGTAGGAATCATGACAAATTCTGTATTCACGCATTCATGATCGTGGACTGCAAGCATAGCGGTCATAACCACACACAAAGTGGGGTGCGCTACACATGTGGCGTGCACTACACATGCAGTGTGCATCACATGTGGCGTGCACTACACATGCAGTGTGCATCACATGTGGCGTGCACTACACATGCAGTGTGCATCACATGCATTGTGCATCACATTCCGCGTGCATCGCACATGTGGCGTGCATCACACATCTTCCCATCACACACCTTTTCGTGAGGGGGTAGGAACGCCCCTTCTTTGCAGGGCGTGTGATGGTGGCGCCCGGCATCTCCATGCAGTCCGCACCACCGTACAGCGTCAGGCTCTTGCACATGCCGTTGCCTGCCGCTGCCAGGCTGGCATTCCACGTGGCCGTCACCGTCACCTTGGTGTTCCATCCAATGACGTTGCTCACGGTGCTGCACACCGTGGTGCGGCCCGCCTGCTCTGCTGGGATGGAGGTGGAGAAGGTGAGCTCCTCCCGCACGCCCTTGGTCGGCCACACCAGCTGCACCTTCGTCTGCAGCAACGGGGCTGCGTGCTCGTTCAGACCGGTGAGACAGTTGGGACCGTTGGGACCGTTGGGACCGTTGAGATCGTTGGGACCGTTGAGACCGTTGACGCGATGTTTGGTGCGACGATGCCGTATCGTGGCCAATAAAGTTTGTGTGGGGATGATGGGGGTTTGGAGGCGTGGAGTTGAGGCGGTACATGGGAAAGGAGAGGAAGGGGGGAGACAACGGGGAAGGTACGGGAAGAATGAGGACACGAAAGCAGTCCGTCAATGTACTGCTGGAATGAGGAGCCTCTCAACATTGACAGTGCCTCTCAACATTGACAGTGCCTCTCAACATTGACAGTGCCTCTCAACATTGACAGTGCCTCTCAACATTGACAGTGCCTCTCAACATTGACAGTGCCTCTCAACATTGACAGTGCCTCTCAACATTGACAGTGCCTCTCAACATTGACAGTGCCTCTCAACATTGACAGTGCCTCTCAACATTGACAGTGCCTCTCAACATTGACAGTGCCTCTCAACATTGACAGTGCCTCTCAACATTGACAGTGCCTCTCAACATTGACAGTGCCTCTCAACATTGACAGTGCCTCTCAACATTGACAGTGCCTCTCAACATTGACAGTGCCTCTCAACGGTGCCTCTCAACGGTGCGTATTCGCGTTGCCTCACAAGTAATGTATCGTCTATCTAACGCCTACTAGAGCAGCACTCACCAAAGCAAGTCTTGTCGGGATCGTAGTAGGTGAGCTTCTGATCGACGCATTCGCATCCAAGGGTATCGGCATGCCAATCGCAGGTAGCACTAGCGCCACAATCCCTGTCACAGTTGGCTGCAGTCATGGGTGGTTCCAAGGTGAAGGCACGGCAAGAGGGTAGACGGGTGGAACTCATGCTGATTTTGAACTTACACCACACGCACACTAACCCATACACGCACACGTACCCACACACGCACACTCTCCCACACACGAACACTCTCTCACACACGAACACTCACTCACACACGCACACTCACCCACACACGCACGCTCAAACTAACCCACACACGCACGCTCGCACCCACACTCACACTCATAGTGGCACTCCCACACTTACGCACACACGTCTTGCTGTCTTCAACGAAGCTGAGACCAGCGCCGCACGTGCAAAGGAGGTTGCCATCATCACCCATAATGCAGGCACCTTCCCCACAGTCCTTGCTGGCACACATGTCTGCAGAGAACACGCGGATTGGTTCCCAGTAGGGGCGAAGAGGCACACAGAGGCAACGGAGAGAAAGGGAGTTACTGTAGGGAAAGGGGGTTAAACGAACTAGATAAATCATCCACGCTCCAGCACTCACCCTCACACTTCTTTGTTTGTCTGTTGAACATAAGATCCTCATTAGTGCAAATGCACTCGCCCAGGCACAGAGCATCGCTCCCACAATCGGCGTTGCTGGTACACATGGCTGCAGAGAACGCGCGCATGGTTTCAAGTAGGGGCACAAGGGCACACACACCAGCACAGAGGCAAAGTAGGGAAAGGGCGTTACAACAAGATAGATGCCGTGCCACTGCCCAGTGGTGCGTGGCAATCAGCACGCACACACACCAGCACAGAGTTAACGTACGGAATCGGAGTAAAAAAAAGAGATTCTGCTGTGGTTGTGCGCTCAACGCACTGCAGCACTCATGCACACGCCAGCACTACAAGCCTACTGCCAGCGGTGTGTGGCAGTCAGCGGTGTGTGGCAGTCAGCGGTGTGTGGCAGTCAGCGGTGTGTGGCAGTCAGCGGTGTGTGGCAGTCAGCGGTGTGTGGCAGTCAGCGGTGTGTGGCAGTCAGCGGTGTGTGGCAGTCAGCGGTGTGCGGCAGCCAGCCTGCTCACCTTGAGCGCTGGCGTGGGTCGCGAGGAAGCTGATGGCAACGACACCCGCGACGAGTGCGGCGAGGCCGAGGCGAGACACGCGGCCAGCGTCGGGCTTCATGGCGAAGTCGGGGCTTTTGAGGCAAATCAAACGGAGGCCCGGGGAGACGGGAAGACTGGGATCACGATGACGTCGCGATGGCGTCAGCTTGGGTAATCAAGCTCCGACAGGTCCGAGGTGAAATTGGGTGGGATTGACGACGCTGGTGAGATTGGGTGGGACCTGATTGGGTGGGACTTCGAAGGTGCGATTGAAACGATGCGAGTGAGAAGGGAGTATACTAGTAAGACACGCAATGACCGAGGTGGGAGAATGCGACTGAGACTTTGGAAGCGAGCGTCGATTTATGTGCTGAGAGCGAGTGGTTGCACGAGTTGAAATATTTTTCTCAGCGCATGTCGCGGAGGAGGGGAGAGGGGTTGGGGTGGGGGAGATGAGGAAAGTCAGGGGGATCGCCGGTGCGCCGAGGCACGGAAACACGCATTGGGTCGACCTTAGGACTAGGCGATGATGTGTTGGGGCAGCGAGAATTTGGCGACTCATGGTGGGCACAAGCGGGAGGAGCGCGAATGGACGAGGGGCGGCGATGACGGGGAGGAAAGCGTTGGGCGTGCGGCTAGTGAACGCGTCGAGCTGGCCAATCCCAATCCCCGTGGAAGGGCGCTTGGCAGAGAAGCGTCCGCCTCTAGTAGTAGCAAAAGCGCGCTCGAGCATATTAAAGTTGAGAGAACTGCGGGACTTGCGGAGAGTGACTCAGTTGTTGGATGAACGCGTTACTTCGGGCAGGTCATATTCTTTCATTTGGAGTTCGTTCAGCGCGGTTCCGTTTGCTTACGAAATGGCTAGGAACGGTTCTCACAAACATCTGCTTTCGACCATTGCGCACCGGACTGAATCGTACCAAACGAGGGAAAACTCCAGAAAATTCCGTGCACAGGCTATAGATTTTTGTTTCGGGTTCGTTTGATGTGGTCGAATACGGTCAATTACGTTTAAGCGCGGTCTTAGATATCACCGCTTTAGACCGCTGCGCACCAGGATGAAGCAATCAGTAAGACCTGCCAGAATCGCGTTTGGCAAATTTTATCACAAAGTTATTTAGATACATTATACATTTGATACATTCTTTGAAGTCTATTGATCTAATATAAAATGTAGAATTTGTGAGGGTAGAGGAAAAGTGAGGGTAGAATTTGTAACGGCAAGTGATACTAAACATAATAAGTGAAAGGAATTTAACCCAATTCCTTACTGAGGCACTCCAAGCGCGTACACTTCCAACTTTCGGACTTCAGGCTCGGTCCGATGACCTCGCCTCCCGAACGTCCCTCGTGTCACATTCAGGTTTCCCAACCCCAAACCTGCACCAAATCTTGCGCGGTCCCGCGACCTCGGCCTACCTAGCTTTCGCTATATTTGCCCTAGGCCTCATTATTTGCTCAGTCGTTGTAATCACTCCCGCGATATTGCATCATGCGCACTCTTCTTTCGTACAACTCACAACACCTGGTAACAAAGCTACTTTCCTAGGTTACCCACCACTTTCCGGGGTAGTTTTAGTGCAGGGGTGCGATAGACTTGGTGGGCTGCAAAGCGGTCGGCCAGGCCCTCAGATTGGTTTCAGAGCATGCTGATCGATCAGTGTGCAGTGTCCAAAGCGGTGTCCAAATCAGCGTTGGGGGTTAAATTTATGCAGATTTTTTTAGAGTGAATTTTCAAGGCAAGCTGAAAAATCAGCATAAATTTTATCACTGCGCATTACGAACTGTGTTATTCGCGTAGTCGTTTGGGGTATGTCTTGCAATCACGAAGGTGTCGAGTTTGATACCCGTTGACAGGTGCTTCACAAGTAGGTCGCGAACGCCTTTTGCGGGAATCCTGGGTTGAACAACCCCTGTACACCCATACACTATCATGTCCGAATCAGTGTGACTCGGTACATTATACTATCAGAATCCCAGCCACTAACCACTGGGATAAAAGGGCTTGTTTGTGTAGCCGGTGAGTGCGCCCATAGACCCCCAGGCCGCCATGCCTGTAACCCTTCCCTGTCAGAGGTCCACTGGTGATCCCCGATTGATCCTAGGGAAGGGTTACAGGCACGTTGGCCTGGGGGGTTATGGGCGCACTCACCCGCTACACAAACAAGCCCTTTTATCCCAGTGGTTAGTGGCTGGGATTCTGACATGGTTTCAGAGCAGGTCCTTCCCTAGGACCGTTCTTAAGGGCCCACCGTACGATACCTACCTACCTACCTACCTACCGGAGCGCGTTCTTAGCGTCTCCCCCGTAGCGCCCTCGCGAGCGTTACCTTTAATTTTCCCGGCCCCGCTGGCCCCGTCGATTGCGATCGCACCTACCGGCCCCGTTGGCCCTCTAGCGAACCGCCCGCGAACCGCCCGTGAACTGCCCGCGCGGCCTGCGCGCCGCCCGCGAACCGCCCGCGAACCGCCCGCGCGGCCTGCGCGCCGCCCGCGAACCGCCCGCGAACCGCCCGCGCGGCCTGCGAACCGCCCGCGAACCGCCCGCGAACCGCCCGCGCGGCCTGCACGCCGCCCGCGAACCGCCCGCTACCTGATTGCGCGGCCCGCACGCAGCCTGCTGCCGGCCCGCCGCTGCCGCTCGTGCGCACCCGCAGCCGCCGCCGCACGCACCCGCTGCCGGCCCGCCGCTGCCGCCCGTGCGCACCCGCAGCCGCCGCCGCACGCACCCGCTACCGGCCCGCCGCTGCCGCCCGTGCGCACCCGCAGCCGCCGCCGCACGCCCTCGCTGCCGGCCCGCCACTACTCACTGGCCGCACCTGCAGCCGCCACCGCACACCGCTACTGCCGGCCTACCACCGCAGCCCGTGCGCCCCTGCGACTCCTGCTAGTGCGTCTTTACAGCTACAGTGGCTCTACTCTGTCTGCTACTGCTACTATCGCTATGGCTAGCCCTCCCGTTCTAGCTTTCGACGCCGAGGGCCGTCCAGTGAAGTTCGAAACCTGGCTCGATGACCTGCACCTGTTCCTACAGCTCACGGCCAAGGAGGATATTTCTCTGTACGACCATGCTCTCGGCCACGCTACTGCCCCTCTTACTACTGCTCCCCCCACTGAGCGCTCACAGTGGCAGACACGTGACGCGCACGCTCGCTTCGCCATACGCAACTCCCTGCCGCTAGATGAGCGCGAGCACTTCGGCCAGTGCAAGACTGCTAAGGAACTGTACACCGCTGTCGTTGCCCGCTACTCCTCACCCGCTTCTGCCACGCTAGGCCGCCTCACTCTCCCCTACCTGTTCCCCGACCTGGCCTCCTTTCACACAGTCGCAGACCTCATCACCCACCTTAAGACTAGTGAGGCCCGCTTTCGCGCTGCCATGCCTGACGAGTTCCTCGCTAGCAACCCCCCCCCGCTCTGGATCACTCTCTACCACATCGTCACTCGCCTCCCTGACTCTCTGCGCGCAGTCAGGGACCACTTCCTCTCTCGCTCCCCCACCGAGCTCACCGTAGCCCTCCTCGAGAAGGAACTGCTTGCAGCTGAGGCCAGTATCGTCGCTGTAGGCACCTCTCGTGGCGACCCCCGCACCCCGTTCTTTGAGGGGTGTTCCCCTTCCCCCCTCCTCCCCTCTGTCGCCTCTGCTGCTGCTGTCGACCTTCTTGGTGCTGAGAAGGTCGGGACCGCGTCTGCTTCGAGCGGGCGCCGCAGGAACAAGGGGGGCAGGGGTGGGGGTGGCGGCGGAGGAGGTGGGGGTGGAGGCGGTGGGAGTGGAGGCGCGGCTGGGGAGACTAGTGGCGGCAGTGGGGGAGGAGACAGCAGCGGTGGGAGTGGTGGTGGAGGCAGCAGCGGAGGCGGAGGTGGTCGTGGCGGCGGCAGGGGTGGAGGTGGCCGGGGCGGCGGCGGTGGGGGTGGTGGTCGTGGAGGCACTGGCGGAGGCCCGAGTCAGCAGCCCGCCCCGACGCTTCAGGCCGCCCGTGAGTGGTATGCGCAGCGTAGCGTTACCTGCACGTACGTCATTCGCACGAGTGACCGCAGCGGCCAGCCATGTGGGAGGCCGCACCCCACGCAGCGCTGCTTCGCGCGCCTTAACGACGCGTGGCGCACTCAGTTTCCTACTGCCACTGAGCTGCCGCGCTGGGCTGATCTGGAAAAGAGGGGTGTTGATATTTGGGCTTTAGACTTTGATGCTATTCTCACTGCCATGTATGCGATGTCTATTAGTGGAGAGGGTGCTCAGTACTTGCGTGTTCCGCCCGACCCGGGCATTCAGGCCAGTCCGGCTGCCGCTCTAGGTGCTAGTGCGTCTGCTCCCACAGGTCCTGGTGAGGCCGCTGCCCTAGGTGCTCGTGCGTCCGTGCCCCCTGGTACTGAGTCGACTGCAGCACTGCACACCTTCACACTGGACTCAGGTGCTTCTCGCTCTTTCTTTCGTGACCGCACTATCCTTGAGCCACTCGCTCGGCCAGTTGCTGTCTCCCTTGCTGACCCCTCTGGGGGTCCGGTCATTGCGACCTCCTCCACTGTCCTTCCTTGTCCGGCGGTCCCGTCCGGCACGCTGTCAGGTCTCTACCTCCCCTCGTTCTCTACGAACTTGGTGGCAGGTAGTGCGCTCCAGGATGGGGGTGTTCACCAGTTCACCCCTGCCTACGAGCGCGTGACACACTGCACGTGTGCTCGGACGGGTCGCCACCTGGCTACCTTCACTCGAGAGCCGGGGTCGGACCTGTACACACTGACCACTGAGTCCCCTCAGGTAGCTGCGTCCGCGTCTGCGTCTGCGTCAGGTCAGCTGTCCGCCCCCTGCTCGTGTCGCTCTCTGGCGCATGAGACTGTCCTTTGGCACCACCGCCTTGGTCACCCGTCTGTGCAGCGCCTTCGGGCTATGCACAAACGGGACCTTGTTGCTGGTCTTCCCAGGGTGCTTCCTCCCCTTCCCGACTCGCCTGCTCCTCCCTGTATTCCCTGTGTCGAGGGACGGCAGCGCGCCGCTCCTCACTCCTCCTCCTTTCCCCCGACGACTGCTCCCTTGCAGACGCTCCACATGGACGTGTGGGGCCCAGCCCGCGTCCGTGGTCAGGGCCAGGAGAGGTACTTCCTGATTGTTGTTGACGACTTCTCGCGCTACACCACGGTCTTCCCCTTGCGCGCCAAGGGTGACGTCCCTGATGTCTTGATCCCTTGGATCCGCAGATCTCGTCGCCAGCTCCGTGAGCGTTTCCGCTCCGACTTCCCTGTCCTGCGTCTGCACTCTGACAGAGGTGGGGAGTTCTCCTCTGGCCTACTGGAGGCCTTCTGTCAGCAGGAGGGCATTGAGCAGTCGTACACGCTTCCGGACTCTCCACAGCAGAATGGGGTTGCTGAGCGCCGCATTGGTCTGGTCATGGAGGTCGCCCGTACCTCCTTGAGCCATGCGGCTGCCCCCCATTTTCTGTGGCCGTTTGCAGTCCGATACGCTGCGCATCAGCTCAACCTCTGGCCCCGTGTCTCCTTGCCCGAGACTTCTCCGACACTGCGTTGGACGGGAGAGGCTGGCGATGCGTCGCGTTTTCGGGTCTGGGGATCCCGAGCTTTTGTCCGCGACACGTCCGCGGACAAGCTCTCCCGTCGCGCTGTCCCCTGCGTCTTCCTTGGCTTTGTCCCGGACGCCCCTGGTTGGCAGTTCTACCACCCCACCTCGCGGCGTGTCCTGGCCTCTCAGGACGTCACTTTTGACGAGTCCGTCCCCTACTA